TATATATATATATATATATATATATATATATATATATATATATATATATATATATATATATATATATATATATATATATATATATATATATATATATATATATATATATATATATATATATATATATAACACACACACACACACACACACACACACACACACACACACATATATATATATATATCCATATGCACACACACACACATTTATATAATCATACGGATATACGGAACATAATCTTGGTTTTATTCATTCGCCACGATCTTCTAAATCCTTCTCTAATTTGGCTATAATCTTATTTATCATATCACTACGCGTCTCATTACGTGGCGTTTCTAGTTCATCCTTCAATCTATTTATTCCATGTATGATATCGATTGAAAACCGAGTTTCGTCCGCGGTATTCATGCGATTTGCACTGGAATGTGGGGTTATAGCTGGTGTATTCTGAGTTCTATCTATATACGCCTTTACCTTGTTCAGATATAATTCTAAAGACTCAGGCTTTTGTGCTGACTTACTTGGTTTCCTTATAGTGCTGGTCTTCGTACCTTCAATATCAGCCTCGGTTGTACTTGGGTTTGTTGTACAGGCAGTCGATAGGCCGAATGGTATCAAAGGATATGTCATATGTTCAAACATTGTTAGATTCTCTGCCTCTTCTACATACAGGAAAAATAGCATCTGATACTTGTTTTTAGCAAAGCACAAACGGCTGGGCGCATTGTGCCCGCTCCTACCCTGTTCTGACCAGAAACTACCGTACTCTCTTCTTAGATCTCCCCAAAGAACAAATATCTTGGTTGCCATCTCATCCAGCCAAGTATCAGGACAGGTAGCCTAAAGCGCATAAATCTGGGACAGATCCATCGGATCTGTAAAATGGAAAAGGGATTAATTAATAAAACCATTAAAACCCATTTAAGGAAAACTGAGTTTACGTACTATTAAGAGTATGTTTATATTACAAGATTCAAATGTGAAGGCCCGGCTTTTATACAGCCCCCACCCAGCTTTGAGACCCAGGAGAAGCAAATTGCTCACTCAAGCTGATTATGGGTCAAAAAGCGAGAAAGAAAAACGGGTCGAAAACATCAAGTAGCATAACGTATAGTTAATTTTTCTCAGGCGGAGAAGTTAAGCGTTCTCGGTTACCCTGTGAGTTTTGGGCTTAGGTCCAGTAGGTCTGTGGTGGTTGACTGGACGTTTCTTACGCTTAAGTGTCTTAAGCACATATGAAGAGTGAGCATTAAAGCTCGGGATAAATGCTGTAGGCGGGTAAATTTTAACTTCCGGACGATGGAAACATGCAACCGATTTTCATCACATAACTCGCTACCGTTATCAGTGCACATTACACTTGGCCACCCGTGGTCAGCAAAGACATGGCAACATACTTCTGCCACGGTCTGCGTACTTTTGTCCTTTGAAGGATAGAGCAAGATATACTGTGACGCCACATCAACGAAGTGGCATACGTAAAAGTCGCCTGTGTTCTCGGACGTGGGCATGTCAACCAGATCAATGATGACCCTGCGCCATGGAACATCTTCAGTCACACTCTTAAGCGGTGCGAACCCATAGCGCTTAATCTGGTTGAGATCACAGTCTGTACATGACTGATATACTCTGTCAACTTAAGTTGCCAGCTTAGGGTGCGCGATCCCATTTTGCTTAGCATCTTTAAGTGCGTCTACTACGTTCTGGTGCTTCAGCTTATGGCTTTGCGTCAGCCAAGCAAGAATGTTTTTAGCATTCTGCTCCTCCAGAATAAAGGTAGGGTGTTGAGAATCCACTTCTTGGCTCGCATTTTATGCCAAATGTCAAAATGCCTTCTTTTTTCCTGTCAAATGTGAAATCGCTTTTTTTTCATGCCAAATCAAAAATGCCTTTTTTGTGTGGATTTTTCACACTCGCACATTTTTATATATAGGATTTTTGCAATTATGTTTCCGTTTGAGCCGGACACAGGCGGTGATAAATTTTTTATTTTATTTTTTTTCAATTTTGTGTCCGTTTGAACTGGACACAATATCGTTGAGCTTAGCGACGTAGTACATACGGGAATCGCTAGAGCATGCAGAATGTATGGAGAGAATGCGAGAAGTTGAGCTGAACCGTACACAGGCGGCAGAAAAGCAGCCAATATGGCCTCGTGTACGATATTTACAAATCGTATCATCGTGTTAATCAACACCAAAATGAGACCGACCCAATGGTCGCACAAGCCTGGTACTGGATGGCTACGCTTCACAAGTTCGAGTGTACACAGAAGAGACGTTTTGACGTCTACGTAGGACCAACAGACCAGACTCGAACGGTATTACCGTTCGATTTTTACAAATCACGATGAAGCGTAGGGTGGTAAAACGCTCGTAGTGCAGGGTGGTTTCCACGCTGCTGTTTACAAATCGCATTGCCATTAACTCTACGCTTCAAGCGTAGGGCCAATGGTAGAAGCAAGTCGCGGACGTCCGAGCACCTAGAAAACGCTCGTAGTGCAGGGTGTTTTCCACGCTGCTGTTTACAAATCGCATTACCATTAACTCTACGCTTCAAGCGTAGGGTCAATGGTACAAGCAAGTCGCGGACGTCAGAGCACCTAGAAAACGCCCGAACGCTCGTAGGGCAGGGTGGAAACCACCCTGGTGTTTACAAAACGTATTACCATTAACTCTACGCTTCAAGCGTAGAGTCAATGGTAATCTGAACGCTCGTTAACGTAAAAAAAAAAAAGCAAAATCAAACGCCAGTCGGAAAACCTTATTATTGTCGTGACGACGCCATAACGCAAACAATAAGTAAGGACACACCCACGCGTAATAGTATACCATTTGTGTCAAATGATGGTGCTGTATTTGACGTGCACACTATAGGCGACGGTACAGTTTATGATACCTTCTACAAGGCTGCTGATGTGGCTAATCTCGTTGGAGTTACGGGGGCAAAGGTTGTGAAGGCATCAGTTGACGATGAGTTGTGTTTCCGATTCGGAGCGGGTGCAACTGATCCTGTCTACATTTCCCTAGACGGACTCGTTCAGTATATATTTAACAGTAGAAAGGCCAGAAAGAGACCGTATGGAAAGTGGATGCTGGAAATCCTACGCCCATTTATGCAACGCGACGACGATGAAATTATCGAGCTAGCTAAGGAGTCTCTCTCCAAGACTATCTCCCCTGAATTGGCTGTCTGCTTTGAGATGGGGATCTACCTCATCCTCGTCGGGACCGTGGGGCAGTTGCAGGAGAAGTGTACTGTACCTACTAACGCAGACGACAACCACGTCGTGGTCAAGCTCGGTATGTCAAAGACAAGTATCATGATGAAGGCAAGTTTCCCCGGGCGGAACGTCTGGCTGTTATATACATGCCCTCTGAACTTGCTTTCAAGGCCGAGAAGGCAGTGAAGGACTTCTTCCACGAGCTCCACGACGCCAAGCCGTTCATGTACGAGGGGCAGACGGAGGTGTTTTCTCTTCCGTGTGAAAAGCTCCTGGGTATAGTGGGGCACTTTACCGACATTGCAAAGGAGGTGGAGAGCGTGAACGTGAAACATAGTCTATCTCACATCATCGAGACTCTCAAGCTGAACCTTGAGCATACCACCGGAATACAAGACAAGGTGGCTTTGAAAGAAGAGACGATCGTGTTGAAGGATGAGAAGGTGATCTTAAAGGAAGAGAATGCGCGTCTATCACAACGTCTGAATCTGATTTCTGAACGTCGTGACGAAGATCAATACAAGCATGCTGAGGATTTGAGAGAGATCAGAACTTAGCTTGATCTAGCCAACGTTCAGACTATGAAGTATGACAGCGCCGATGCGCAAGCGCTTGCGGCTGGACGATTAGGTCGTATCCCAAACTAAAAAATCCGTTCTTATATATAATCGCTGAGTTTCTCGTTCAATTTTTCAAAATATATCAACAACAACAAAAATTAAGCTTATAGTATTTCACCGCATTTTTTTTTGTTGACTGGTGTGTACTATACCGACAGAGGCAAAGTAAATCCTTTCACCCTAAAGGTACACGTACCTCTACCATTGAGGCAAAATATGTATATACCCTAAAGGTACATGTACCTCTACCATTGAGGCAAAATATGTATATACGCTAGGGGTACATGTAGCTCTACCATTGAGGCAAATAAATGTCGAAATAACTATTGTCTTTCGAATTACAACTCTAAATATTATTCAAAATGGGTTGTGGCATTGAAACGCTCCCACCTACTCTTGCATGTAAGTCTTTTGCAGATGAAAATGGTGTTGAAACTGTGGGTGATGGTACAATAGACAACACATTCTTTAAGGCGCTGGATGTCTCAAAAATGATAGGTGTTTCGAATTCAAGTAAAGTAGTACAAGGGCTCGAAAGTGACGAGTACGTCAAAATCAAAATCGATAACGTTGAAATACTTTTCGTGACGACACTGGGACTTGTGAAATTCATTGTGTCATCCAGACAGGCCCGTAAAGGCCCAAATTGCAGATGGCTGCTTGAAGTTATCCTCGCCTTTGTAATTCGGGACCACATGCAAATTACTGAGCATTGCGCAAATTCTCTCGCAGCAATCCTACCCGACACGTTTTTACTTGGTTATCCAACCGGCATCTACGTTCTTGAGATCGGAACCGTTGGTAACCTACGCGATCAGTGCACTCAGTCAACAAATGCAAACGATTCAGATATAGTGCTCAAGTTCGGGATGTCAAAGACCAATATTTTTCGTCGTTTGAAGGAACACGATGGTTTATTCAACAAGCCAAAGCTTCACATTTTGTGCTGCACGCACTCCGAACTTGCTGGCAAGGCGGAACGAGATATACGGCAATACCTCAAAAATATACTCTACCGTTTCACTACAAAAATCAAACTGAACTGGTATCTATCAACCCTGGTGTGTTTGGCTCTGTGATAGTTCATCTGAAGGATATTTCACTAGACCGGGCAAAAGAGTCGATGAAACACAACTTAAGCCATGAAATTGAGCTCTTGAAACTCCGCATAAATACGGCCGAAGAACGCACTATTGAGCTCACAGATCGACTCGCCGAAACTCAACAGCAACTCATTCAAACACAAGCGCGTGCACAACTCGACAAGGTGCAACAGCATACGTTGCTCATTGAAGCAAATGGGGGCGTCAAGGTCGCCGAAGACCAGCTGCGCGAACTCCAAGGTAACTTCATGAAGATGTGCGTTCCAGCACGTGTGCGAAAACGGCTCCGTGATGATGGATCGACTTGATGGTCAACAAAAAAATAAAATGCTTGAATCAACGTCTCACAATTACAATTATACATCGAACAATCCACATACACCTGTATTTGTGGTGCGTAAAGTTCGTACATGTGTACTTTTATTTTTCTGAGATTCCAGGGCATCGTCAATGACGAATATTTGGGAGATTCTTCTACATCTACTCACAAAGGTATATAAAAGGCGTAGCACGTGAATAAGGTCTTGAACTCTTGTCGTATCGTCGAGTATCTCCCCCCTATATTCCCATCCTGACTGCAGATAGTAAATGATGGTGTTGGGAGGTTCGACGGTATCACCCTGGAATTGATGTATAGTAAAGCCACAGCAAGTCTCAAAGGTACCCTGGGGCACACCACCATTCACAAACTGTTGCATTCGAGTACGGGACATGACCATGTCTTTAGCAATATTGAATACTGGGCACGCCTTGTTGGCCCTGTAGATAACCTCGTCTTCCAGACGTTTATCTCGGACTTGCTAAATAATATTCATACCCGAACAATTGTAGTTGAGGCGTAGCCTAGATCTCCGGGACTCGGTGAGTCGGGGCCTGTCATCTTCTTCCGTGGGTTCAATGTAGAATCTACCCCATTTCGTACACACGTTGTACGGGCACGAACGTCGCGCCAATTAAGATAATTCATGTGCGAATCCTGAGAGTCATAGAATAGTTGGAGCCTCTCCGAGCGTTTAATAAGGACTTTCGGGAAGTGCTGTTTGAGCATACTCTTGATCTGGAACTCCTGGTAACTGGCCGGGATGACAGTGTTTTCGGATAACCTGGCGCGTATCTCCATCGGCTTAGCTACCAATTCGTTTATTCGGGCGCCAGTATCGAACCGTTGCTGGACGTTCATGTATCGGTAGTACGATATGTTGGGCAACCGGGACACTTTGGCTGAATTAAGCATCTCCAAGTTGCGCGTGATGACCATCCACTTCGGGGACGAATGACGAATTGGTAGGCCGGGTCGCTTGTCAGAACCATCTTGGCATTCCAGAGCTTGGCTATGACACACAATATAAACTTGGGTGACTGCATCACAAACTCGTCCAGGATTATGTACTTGCAATCAAACCAATTCGGGACTCCATGCGATTTCAGGCCGCCAGGAAAAGGCTTGATACCTTGGTGCGGGGGTTCTTTGGAATTCCAAGAATGTGTCTTTGGCCTCGTCCAAGGTGTTTCGCGAGTTTGCATCGTTTGTCATTTCAGTGCGCAGGTTCCGCAGACACAGTATACGTACAAACTCGTGTCGATCTGATCTTTTAGAGATAAAGCCGTTCAGCTTGCCTTATCCTTCTTGTATGAACTTGACTAAGGAGTCCCATATGTATTTATATTCACCGACATTGGAGAGGGTGCGGTCGCATGTAAATGCCGACATGTGCACCGTGTTAGTGCCAAAGTTCTCGGTCGCGTACTCTGTGGTCAGAGTATCGGGGTCCAAATTAAAGGGGCTAATGGCTGAATTACCGTCTTCGTTGCTGGTCATGGGCATACCGTCCCACCCACCGTGATGGAAGATCTTGGACTTGTGTGCATTGACCAAAGCGTTCGTGTTGGTTGTCAGAAATGATCCGTGCAACTCGCGCATGACGCCGACATCCCCCGTATGGCTGATCCGATTCCCCGGCAAACTGCAGGTACGCATCGACCTGGTCTTGGTGTGTAAGCCCCTTGGTGTTGCAGCATACATGTATAGGCCGGGTGAACCGATCAACGCCGGTGGGGTCCAACTCGGGGTGCTGGGCTAGCAGCGCCGAGTCCGTGTTGGACGACTGTTCAAGGTTCAGTACTAGACTCGGAATATAAGTGCTAGTCTTGATCCGGAACGGCCAATGTATAGGCGCGGTGTTGAGGTTGGAAAGGTAAATACCATCCACACATATACGCAGCAACGTGGCGCCTCACAGGACTAGGAACTGCAATTGTTTTAACATAGTGTACCGCGTCAGCGACTTGACGGTCGCCGTAATGACAACAAAGGCCCGATTATTGGTCGTGTTAATGCCCGCGACGGCGTCACCGTTGATCATTTCGATAGTCGACTTGACTGGGTTGCATCTGTGCGTCATAATCTCAGCGTGCGCCCGTGAAGGTAAGTGATAGGTTTCACTGGATTCGATTATTTGGAAGATCCCAAAAACTTTACAATTCATGGGGATATTGAGATTATCCACGATTTTTTTGCCCATGTCGGTGAAACTGTGGCGGTGTACCACATCCAAGCAATCTACAGTGCGCCATCCCCAGCATCCGGTGATGATCTGGATCCTATATTCCAGTTGTCGCATTTGTACAATGACGGGGGAGTAATTGACGTGCATCACGAGATGTAGACCCATGGGGGCTACGACTTTCTCCCACATCTTGTACATGTAAAACCCCGGTCCGAAGATTCGGTCCGTGGTCCGGAAGTCCGTGATGATCGGCATTCCTTCATATGCGGCTAATTTACGCGTCGATATTGTAAACTTCGATGGAAATT